GACCCTCTTCCCTATTGGAAAAAAAATTAAGTTGGATCCAAGATGGCCGACTTCAAAATAGCCACCATGGTCACCACCCATCTTGAAAAGTTTGCCAACATGGGGAGAACATGCAAACTCCACACAGAAACACCAACTGACCCAGTCGGGATTCAAACCAGTGACCTTCTTGCTGTGAGGCGAATGCGTTACCCATTGCGCCAATGATTTCCATGTTGGATTCTAAGTGGACTGTAAAATACAGGCATTGTAAACATGGAAATTGAAAAATTGTAAAGCAGTCAATACAAACAAGCAGCACGGTGGCGCAGTGAGTAGCGCTATTACATCTCAGCAAGAAGGTCACTGGTTCGAGTTCCCTCTGAGTCATATCTGTGTGGAGTTTGCATGTTCTCCCCGTGTTGGCATGAGTTTCCTCCGGGTGCTCTGGTTTCCCCCACAGTCCAAACACATGCACTATAGGGGGACTGATCAACTACACTGGCCGTAGTGTATGAGTGTGTGTGTGTGTGAATGAGTGTGTTTCCCAGTGCTGGGTTACAGCTGGAAGGGCATCATTCTGCTCTGGTGACCCCTGATTAATAAAATGACCAAGCCGAAGGAAAATAAATGATGTCAGAATGTTTGGTTTTGCGTGAACTGACCCCTGAAGTGCAGGAGTGATGAGTGTTTCATCAGCAGATTGAGTAACCTCGGATGGTTTCAGGGTAGAGAATACAGCAGACACTGAAGAGTTTACTGTAATCCAGCATATCTGTGGGTTTCTGTGGCGATCCCACTGATGTTTAAGTGCATGTGTGAAGCGTGATCCTGAGTCGAGGATCTCCAAGAGTTTCATCCATCATCATTAGACGAAACATTCCCACGCCTGAGGCCGACAATTAGTGGAGCGCAGGGAGGGAGAAATATGTCCATTTCAATAATGCACAGCTCAGATTGTGTTCTATACACTTCACTTCTGTGTGTGTGTGTGTGTGTGTGTGTGTGTGTGTGGTAGTTTTCAAATTTTCGAAGTTTTAAATTCAGTGAAATATAGTGTTGTAGGGTGGCGCAATGGGTCGCACAAATACTTTACAGCAAGAAAGTTGCTAGTTTGAATCCCCGCTGGGTCATTTCTGTGTGGAGTTTGCATGTTCTCCACCAGTTGGCGTGGGTTTCCTCCACATTCCAAACACATGTGCTATAGGGGAACTGATCATTGGCCGTAGTGTATGAATGTGAATGAGTGTGTATGGGTGTTTTCCAGTGTTGGGCTGAGGCTGGAAGGGCATCCGCTGTGCAAAATATATGCTGGATAAGTTGGTGGTTCATTCCGCTGTGGTGACCCCTGATAAATAAAGGGACTACGGTGAAAAGAAAGTGAAGTTAAGGATAAAGATGATGGTGATGATGTAGTTAAAGATGTTGGTGAAGGTGATGATGATGATGATGAAGATGATGATGG